AAGAGAGAGAACGAGGGAACGAGAGAGAGTTGAAGTCGATACAACGAACGAAGAGAGAATGATTCTGATTGGGAGAATGCGCGGTTGGGAGGATGCTCGTCGGCGGGGAAAGGGATCGAGTTTAGGGCGACGGACGAACGGAGGGTCGAGGGCGGGAGGGATAGAAGCAGATGCTCATCGAGTCCCCCGCTGTAAATGTAGATTATGCTCGCCCTTAATTTGTGTGCGTGCATACGTGAGAGCGCACTCTGGACTTGGCCTTTCCTAAGGAGAGGATTGAAAAGCGTCCAAGGAAACCGCGCGCCTGATAAAATTCGCCGGAATATATTTATAACCGCGATATTGCTATCTCCACCGCGGAGAATCATCTTTCGTGTGTGTGCATCTTGTGTAAACGCGCACGCAATGTTGCACCCGCTCACCGCTGTATTAATAAACGAAACGACGGACCTCGCTGCGGAATATATCGCGCGGGCTCGCGGAGAAATTAAGTCGACTTAATCGGGGATAATAGTGCGGTCCGCTCTCTTTATCGCACTGATTTCTCTCGTTTGCTCACTCGCGAATCAAGGCAACTGATTATTACAAATTCCGTAAATTTCTTGTTTCTATATAAAGTAAACGTTTCTCGGACGAGAGAACGCGTTGAACACTCGGAACTAAAATGATGTACACGATTCGCGTTTCATATGTGAGAAAACAGATACTCCCTCGGTTTCTTACGAGAACGCAGCTCCTAATCCTTTTTTATTAAAATCCGCGTCAGACGCGAACAAAAAGAAACTAGGATTCCAGCGAGCTTCGATAATCTTGGGATCGCGTGGCATCGGGATGGTGCATTTTCCCGACACCGGCGGAAGATGACGCACACCCTCCCTCCATATTTTAAGTATGTGGGTTTTCGACATGAGCCATTATAAGTTCGAGGACGTGCGCGCGAGACGCGTGCACGGTAGACGGAGAAAGAAAAGACCGAGGAGGAGGAAGAGGAGGAGGTGATGGTGGTGGTGGTGGTATATACGGGAGTGAGAAAAAACGGAGAGAGAGACGGAGCGAGAGGCAGGTGCATCACGGTGACACTCCCTCGATAATTCTTCGGAGAGAGAGAGAGAGAGAGAGAGAGAAGAGAGGAAGACGGAGGTAGCAGCGTTCGCTGGAGAAAGAAAAAGAGAGGAGGACCTAAGTCACGAGTGTTGTGTCTGGAGCTCGTTTATGGTCGTTCGCTTAAACTCTCGCTGCGAGGAAGGCGAGTTTCGAAAATGGCGTTGTGGGGTTCGGCGGACCCCGGCCGGAATGTTTCTTCTTCACCCGAGCGAGCCAATGTACTGCGACGATACGCAAGATATCTCGCGATCGCGAGCGGAGTTTCGAAAACGGCGGGTTCGACGGACCTCGCGCGTGGAATATCACGTTCGGGAGGAGCGACCTTATTCGCGCGGGAAATAGCGCGCGAATCTGATAAGAAAGTAGCATGCTCCTGCGCGCGACGTACGTAATAATACATTCCCTCGTATATGCTTGCGATGAAAATTATTCCGCCGACTAGGAAGAGAGCCGAAGCTCGGAAGCGCATCCGAAGCGAATCGAACGACGAGACTCGCAGGCCGATGCGTTCTCACCATCACACGTGAATCACACAGTGTGTGTTTGTTAAACTATATTTTATCGCGCTCGCTACTTCCTGAAACAAACTCCGCGTCCAGGTAGATTTACTCGTGAGTCACCGTGCGATAATTTTAGATCCGATCGGCCGCTACATTCGACCCGTGTTTTCGCCGCATTACGCGTAATTTCAATCAGATTATTTTCACGCGGCCGCGAATGTTTACCCTCGCCGATGGATTCTCCAGGATGCATCACTCGCCAACGGTGAGATGCAACGCGGGATAATTTTCGAAGCCGCCCGTCGCCGTTTGACGCCGCCGGATTATGAAAACGCGAACGGACCAGAAAACGTTTGTCGTCCCGACCGCTTTTTTATTCCGTTTATATCGGCTCGTCATCACGACGCGTTGTGCAAAAAGTTTTTTTCTTTTTTCCGACCGCTTCCGAGCAATCGCGCGAAATAATACGAGTAAGCCCACCGAGGCTCGCCCACCGTGACGAGCCTTTTCGGATGAGAAAGGATTAAAAGCGGACACCGGAAGTATTTTCGGTAAGTAGGGTGGATGCTATTCTCGGATACCCTTGCACTTGAACCGACGCACCCTCGACTCTAGGACACCCGGAGTCCCAGCGCAAGGGATGTTATATTAGGCGTTTTGATTTCGCGTATAGTATAGGAACAGTATCGTCATTAACAATATAAACGATAAATGACAATTTGGCAAATAATAATTTGTCGTTTATGTCATATTTTTTTTTCATTATCACATTTGACACGTTTGTATAACTAATGTGATTTCTGCAAGTGTAAAATATAAAATATGATTTGGTATTTAGTATAGAATATTATTAACACATAACTTGAGATGATGATTAATAGTATAAGATTGGATTCTATCGCGATCTATATTTTTGTCCGTTCGTACGCCAAGCTCTCCGTTCTCTACGCTTGCGATCGAACGGCGAACTGTTTGGAAAATAGCGAATAGAGTAACCGGTGAATTGGAGGCTCGCGACCGTCGTAATACGGCTCGTTAAGTATGGCACGCAAAGTAATACGAGCCTTAATAAACGACTCGCGGCGCAATACGGCCCCCGCGAGACTCTTCAACGCGAAACTACAATCGTTGAGATTAACGGGCCGAAACGAACCGATGACCGGTCAACTGTCTCATAGTTATCAAATTATGGAGAAACGAGACTCGGCGAATCTGAGTCGCGGTATAAACGTTCAAACGAACGTTTCAAACGAATCACCTCGATTTCACCGCGGCAGTTCCTCGATGGCGAGGCACGAATGCACTCGAACGTTTCGCGATTCACAGCAGTTATTAGCGCAACAGAGCGATGTTGGATATTTTGCTTCCAGTTTAGAAATATTAAGAATTGCTTCTAGTTTGGAAACTTCCGAATGTTACCTGATATAAGAAACACGTATTAATAATCTCGAGATACTCGAGATAAAAGATACGGCTAATCGTGTACAAACAGCTGGCCGATTTCGAACGCTCCGAAAGATCAAATCAAAAGGATCGCCAGACATCGCAATGAAAACTTGACTCTACAAGACATTGGTCCCCCTTGCTGACTTATTCGTCGCTCTAGGAAGTTTTATGAGCGACGCAATGCCGCAATATAAATTATATTTAACCGAATAGCCGCGGCCTACACAACTCCCGCAGCGTTTCAAAGGGATGTGGGAACGCTTCGGACGGAGCATCTAAAAGGCCGTTTTTGCGGTCTCCGAGCTGCTCGACTGCGCCGAACTTAGCCTACGAGAGAGGGCTACAGCACCGTCGTCTTACAAACAGCGTCTCAAACCAAACAAACGTTTGAGACTCAGTTACCAACTATACTGCGGACTGCCGCGCAAATACACCTCTCGCGCGCTCTCCTCTGAATCGTAATTTCGAATCGCTTTGTACACCGGGACACGGTAATTAGTACGGAAATTATCTCGCGGATCTTTCGTGACAAACCGCGGCTCTCCGAGAAGTGTGTCACAGTGCCACGATAATTCCACATTGTCCAAATAGATGCGAACGTATGTGGAAAAATAAAAAATAAATCGGCAGATCACGGACCGGTTCGTCTCTAACACATTTAAGGCCCTCTAAATTGAATTCTAATCGATTGGAAGGTACGGGAGCGGCGGTGCGACGCGAAGGAACCGGACATTCGAAAGCTAGCGGGACTTCGACTCGAATTTGACACGTGCCGCGACGATCGAAAATCCACGCAGAATGAGAACCTCTTTCGAGGTAACGCACGACTCCGCGGCACGCAACGGCGCATCGCTCCGTGGCTGCTCCTCTGGCAGGTGTATGAAGCGAGAAATAAAAGAAAAACGGCGCCCGCGGAGGCTGACTGCTGAGAGGGAGAGGGAATACGCGCGCGCGAGAGAGAGAGAGAGAGCAGGCTCGAGAAAGAGGAAAGATTCGATTTATGGACTCTTGCATTACATCCGAGCGATTAACCACTAACGATTTCGTACCGTCGCCGCCACGGCGTCCTGGCACGTGGTACAGACATACGCGAGAGAACAGAGAATCAAGTCGATCATCGCTCTCTCTACCGCCGATCTATCGACGAAAGCGACGTCGCGACAGCTCCCCGTTCGTCTTTCTCCCTAGGAAGCCTCCCCATCGGCGCTCACCCTCGCATACGTACGAGCACGCATACACGCACACGTCACTCACTCCATACACATCCATGCGCACACACACATACGCACAACGTCGCTCTATCGTCCACACTGTTGCACATGACAGCGGCGGACGTCTCTGTAACGTGTCTAGGTTATGTCATTCGTGCTCCGGCGCGGTGCACGCAGGAGGCCAGCGAGCTCCTGCCGACGGGGAGAAGATCTTGAACGTAAACATGAGCGTGAATGACAACAACCGTCGTCGTTATCGCAATGAATGTCGGTGTCGACAATAACAATGACAACGACGAGGATAACGAGAAGACCACGGGGAGCACGAGGCCGAGCCGTTGCTCTCGCGTTAATCGTCGACGGGGCAGCACTGTCCAGGGCACTGACAAGCGAACCAAAACACAGAGAGCGGGCGCAGGGTAGTCGAGGCGGCCGACGGAGAGGATCGTCGAACGCGCGACTCCTCGGCGCGTTCGCGATCGACCGAGCGGGACCGAGAGGCGGAGAACGCCAACGGCAACCTCGGCGACGTCGAACACTCCGTCAACACGCGTGCACGGCTTTTAAATACGCACACCGCTCCGGATAATACACTAGACACACCAGAGGGATAAGGCAGAGAGTAGGACAGAGACAGAGATGTCCGTCGCTTTATTTTCCACAGGGGGCCACGCACGGCGCACGGTCGCGATATGCCCGTATGCGCGAGAGACACGGCACTTGGACGACGCACACTCACCAGGCTGCTTGTTGGCGATCTTATTGAAGCAGTTCTGAAAGACCTCGTAGAGATGCATCGGCTCATCGTCGCTGGCCGCCATGTTTTCGCACGAGACGTGAAAACGAGTGGACGTCCGTGGTCGAGGCGAATGGGCACGGTTTCGCGGTGCGGCCGCGCGCGGAGCCACCCTCCTCCCGCTACGGTCACCCACACTACTGAAGTGTACCGCTTCATGGACGCGGCTCTTATATCACGCAAGTGGCTCCACCGTGCGTTCGCACCCGAGCGCCGCCGCGAACGCGCGCGATCTTCGATTCGACCGAACGCTTCGACGCGACCTTCCCTATCGTGGACGTGACAAACTCCGAGCGCGCGACTTTTCTCTCTCTCTCTCTCTCTCTGTTCATTTGGATATTCTCGCTTCGAATACATCGTTTCTACGCGTATCGCGTGCCATCGTTACGAATTATGTTTGATCACCCTTTATGATTACTTTTACGGTTAGATGTCAAATATAATACGAGAGGTTAACCGTGGATTTATTTAGCTGACGTATATATCTTATTCCCAGAAAATTAAGATTCGTTTTCTTTTTAATACGAGGCGTCCATTATCGACATCTCATAGATAGAAAACTTCGATATTTATCTGAAGAATGTAACAATAAAATTGCTGTTCTTTTGTTATATCGATTACTCACCGGCTTTTCTCTCGACAAATTGGACATATAAGATGTGGCGACTTGAACTGCAAACTGTCATGACTCGTGTGGTGTATTATTCGAGACTCTTCATGGGACTGTTCGAAATATTCACTTTCACGACGATGTATTGTACGACGTACCAGATGCACGACATTCATTTTCAATATTCTCGACGATCTCACGCGCAAGATTCCTCCGGCGGTGGTCCACAACGCAAAATGTCGTCGTTTGTACTACGAATTGCCGACATAACGTGACGTCACGATCGCGGGATACTCGTTCGGCACTCTTGATAAACAATTCCGCGAAATGTCCACTCTTCGTATCGATTTAACGACGATTCATTACCGACAAAACACATGATCTTTACTCTCGGCACTGCCGATAATTCGCACGCGATAAATTTCTTCGCCGTTTGAACTACGAATGTGCCGCCATAACGCGACAATCGGGCGACATCTCACTCAGAAGTACCGACAGACCGACTCGCGCTAATATTCACTTTAGACAGCCATCTAACGAAACTTCGTCACGGCGAACGCGCGGGATTCATCTTCGGCACTCCCGACAAGGATAATTCGCGAACGAGGCTCACCTTCGTCTGAACTCGCGAGATACACGAAGTGTCTTTTCGAACACGAACTACCGCGCTGCGATCCGCTACGTGAGTGAACTCGCAACGATTGAGTTTCTCGAAATATCTTGATACGCGAAATGCTTCACGCAATAGGTGACCGTTACACGAGTGTTTTCGCGTTTGCCTAACCATGTTTCACTATGATAAACACGCCAGACTTACTTTCAGCATTTCAAACGATAACATCCGCATGTGGTATTTCAATTGAATCTAATGTGTAAAACACAGCGATGTGATTTTCGGGCTATTGTGATAAACGCACTGCACGATGTCTGATGCGATATCCCCACAATAACCCGTTCCGAAATATATACATTTTCGGTGGCTATCTCATGATATTCTTGTACGACAAATACGTGACACTTACTTTAGACACTCCTTTGACATTCTATGACGACACGGATATAAGATTCATCTCAGGTAAGCCGAAATCATGTGAGGTACGAGACGATTTAACAAACGTTACGCGACACGACCCGTTTCATCCAATCGACTGAACTTATAGCAATACTCGAAGTATCTACTCCAAGTACAGAAAGTGTAGCAGTGTAATACAGTGCAGTTTGAAAAAAACAGTTAATAATTTATATACTCAAACTGACGCAATCTGAAGTACAGAAAATGTTTGAAATAGCTTTAATATACGAAATATCATCGTAAACGATGTCAATAAGGAGTAATTGATGATTGTGTACCACAATTGTTACACCTATTACTCCCATAATTGTTATTAAAATCCACCAATCACAAGCGTCATGTTTGAATGCAGTTTGAAAGCAGTTGGGTTCATTTTGCAACAGTCGAAGATGATCGCGGCCGTGTGATGGTGATATTATTTTATCACGTTGAAAATAAATTTTGTGCGCAAACGAGTGTCGGGAGTGTCGAATCGAGGCGATAGTTTTAATGCATCTATCGATCTGCATAAGTACGATTGAACTTAATGCTTTTCGTGCTACCATCGTCGCAAATTGTCAAATCGGAGGGTAGTTTTGATTTCGTTTTGAGATTCAGACAGCACGGCCATAATGATTCTCGGTACGATCGTGAAAGACAACTTTTCTGGATACTTCTATAGTAACGTACGTATATATTTTTGTCACAATAAAATATTTTATTTACAAGTCGAAAATATAGAAATATTTTCGTATAGAATATAAATTCTGAATATTTTATAAATGTTAGGTACATATACGACGAGCTACGTAGAAACTTATTCGAAATTCGAATCGTAATGCTCCATTAGTCGACTAATGACTAAATAGACAATTGAAGCAATACGATTTGAACATTGTTGTCAGTTGGTTAAAGTAGCTTATGCCCTTGTAATATTTACATATATATGCATGTATATTAATATATATTAATATATATATGTATATGCCCCTCTTTCAATAACATATAAAAATGTATATAAAATATATCGCAAGATTCAACCAAAATACAGATATTTATCATTAATAAATACAAATATAATCTCTTATTTTATCGTCATGTAACATTATAATATTTATGTTTATATAATTAATAAATAATCTTATGAAATGCTATTTAAAATATATTACAAACATGTATATTGAATAAAGATGCATATTCAGAATTGTTATTTCAAGCAAACTTCATTTAACTTTAAACTCCATCGAAATCAGCATTCTGTGGGATCGGATGAGATATCTCTTCATAGTCTTGTCGGCCCAAACCTATACAAGTGGTTCAAATAAATTAATATACATTCCAATTGCATTTGCATAAGTAGTTGTGATACTAATGAAACTGATACACAAAATGCTGGACTTTCATGCTACACAAATTCAGGCCAAAGCATTGATCTTAAGAAAAGATTGGGTACACAACTTGATACACAGAAACCTAGATAACTAACATAAGGTTGTTTAGTTATAAAATATATACAATAATTTGCATTAAAGCACAAAACTACTGCATACACACATACTTAATAAATCAGATCTTGAAGAAGCACTGACGCACTACAAAGTGTATATCCAGTGAATTACTGACCCATGGAAGGACTTGGTGCAAATACTGTGGCTAAAGTGCCATTTCTTGCTTGGCCTATTCGTAGCAGATATATACTCGTAACAGGACGGGCAACCAAATTTATTATCATAAAAACTGTACTAACTGTATCTGCAATTGTTACAGTTTAGTACAATTAGACAGATGTGACAGATTAATCAATTATTTGTTATATTCTATTTTACTCTTTTTTTCCTTGTATGAGAAAAACTGTATGAGAAAATGTATACTTACCGAACAAATAATAGTTGACTGATAAAATGATCACATCAAGAAGTATAGAGAGCACATTTATGAAAAGAGCCTATAAAAGATATTACAATAGAAGTTCCAAATAATTTCATTGCTTTCATATATTGAATAACTTACAAATTGAAGTGGTTCATCTGATTCTGTATTATGAATAGCCCATAAAATACAAACAAAGAATAGGAAGTTGTAGAATATTACAGATTGCGGACACCATCTTCCTTGCGTACTCCTGTAAAATATTTTTCTTTTTATGGTTTTTATCATAAGAATTATAATAGTAAATGATTATAACTCTAATATTTAAAAGATATAAATTTAAAATTTATTTTATAACAATCAGTTGTTCTCACCATGTTACGAGCACCAGATGTATTGTGAATATGATCTAGAAAAGTTCAATAATGAAAGATACAATATATTACCTTTGTTATACAGTTCAACAACTTAATTAAAAATTTACACTTATAGATCCAAAGAGGGAAAAAAATTAATTACAAGTTTGTAAGGTATTAATCTACTTATTCAGTAAAGAAATATTTTGAAGACAAAGACTAGATGTGATGTGATGCTTACGACAGAATGACATTATTAAAAGATAAACTTAATTTACATACCTTCAAAGGAAAATGAGATAAATTGGTTAAATTAGGCATTTTAATTGTGTGACAGTACCTACAGTACCAATAATGGTAAAGCAATGGTCGATTAATTAGAATGTGATTACAAAATATCTCTGGCTGACAGAACCCTATCTAATCTTTCTCCGCCTACGACTTTAATTCGACAACAACATGAAATGCATATATTGCGTATATCAGCTGTGTAACAGCGCCTTTTACAGTTGCTGCCATCTGATTCTCTCCTACCAAACTGTCATAAAATTAGAAACTAACCTTACGACCGTCCAATCAAAGTATATTTATCTCTATAGGTGCGTTCAAGGAGCGCACTATTAGCGCTGATCAGTGCTAACGAGTCATTCTATCCTTGTCGTATAAATTACGCGTTAGCGCTGATTGCGTGCTCCTCGAACGTAATCTATTGGTCTGTTCGTTATAGTCTGCACTGTTGAACTAGTGCAATAAATTGAAATGAGTGACAAGTATATATTTTCTCATTTTAACTTATTGCATCAGTTCAGCAATGCAACTATAAAGAACAGACCATATATTGTGTATGTACATATATGTTTAACGAATCTTGTTTATTAAAGTCTGGTGTGTGAATTTCGCTTTAATGAAAAGCGTATAATGAATACACTTTTATACTTACTACGTTTTTATATTTAACTTCATGCACAGCAGCCTTTAGTGTGCGCTGGCACAAATTTACAAAAAAGTACGTGTTCATTGTTGTCCGCGCGACTGTCGGCCTTTCTTTCATTGTATATTTTGTTACGAAATTAAAATTCCAAACAATGTTACACACAAGTCGTTACGCACTGAGACATTTTCGGCCCTTTGTAAGATTTTATTATGAAGAAGCTTCCGTCATTGGTAATACACCGGATACCAGCTCAACAGTTTATCAGGTGAGGACTTAGCAGATGTTAATGTTTAATGTTTTAATTTACCATTCTTGAATGATTTTACATATGTTACCATTTTCTCAAAGAATGAAAAGTAAGAAAATTTTAAGGATTTTAAGGAAATTATGTAAAAAACTAAGTCAGTATTTGATAATGTTATAAATATATTAGTTGATGTAAATTATATGTTACATATGTTTCTTATAATATATATTTGAGAACATAAATATAATTTTATATGTTTGCTATAAGCATGTAAATATCTTTGGAATTATAGGAGAATTATGCACAAATGAAAACTGTTGTGGATCAATTGAAAACTACTGTAGAAAAAATAGTTGAAGGTGGAAACCAGAAAGCTAAGGAGAGACATATAAGCAAAGGAAAACTTTTACCCCGTGAACGAGTGAATACTTTATTAGATAGGAATTCACCTTTCCTAGAATTTTCACAATTGGCTGGATATGCGATGTATGGTAAAGAAGAAGTACCAGCTGGTGGAATTATTACTGGCATTGGCAGAATAGAAGGGTAATTTGCATTAAAATATATATCATGACTCCTTGCATTGTATTTTCATTATCAAAGATTTTACCTTTCAGTACTGAATGTGTGATAATAGCAAATGATGCCACAGTGAAAGGTGGTTCTTACTATCCTATAACAGTTAAGAAACAGTTACGAGCACAAGAAATTGCTGAAGAAAATAGATTACCTTGTATATATCTCGTTGATAGTGGAGGTGCAAATTTACCTAGACAAGCTGAGGTGTTCCCTGATAAAATGCACTTTGGTAGGAGTTTTTATAATCAAGCAAATATGAGTGCCAAGGGAATAACACAGATTTCAGTGGTTATGGGAAGTTGTACAGCAGGTTCGTTGTAATTTTATTTTTATTGACCATTCTTATTTACCTATACTTCATGTACATATTTGCATAATTTGTTAGCATGTCATAGGTGGTGCATATATTCCTGCCATGTCAGATGAAAGTATTATCGTTGGCAATCAAGGTACAATATTTCTGGCTGGTCCACCATTGGTAAAAGCTTCAACCGGAGAGGAGGTTTCGGCGGAGAACTTGGGAGGTGCTGCGCTTCATTGTCGGTAGTTATTTTAAATATAATATTGATACATAATAAGTATGTCATACATCAGTACTCAGTCATATATTTCAAATTTCAGGGTATCCGGTGTCACTGATCATTACGCGATAGACGACACGCATGCCTTGCACTTAGCGCGTCGAATCGTGCAAAATTTAAACATACAGCGACCTATGGACGTGAAAATCAATAAAAAAATAGAGTTACCCCTGCATGCTATTGACGAAATATACGGTATCGTTGGAACAAATCTTAAACGTCCCTTCGACGTGAGGGAAATTATCGCGAGGATCGTGGATGGATCGAAATTCAACGAATTTAAAGCGCAATATGGCGAGACCTTGGTCACTGGATTTGCCAGGATTTACGGCTATCCCGTGGGCATAGTCGCAAACAACGGTGTCTTATTTTCCAAAAGCGCTCTGAAAGGAACTCACTTCATACAACTTTGCGCACAAAGGAAAATCCCTCTAATCTTTTTACAAAATATCACAGGTATGATTACGAAGTCACTTGAGCGTTTTTCTCTCGTAATCTCCGTAATGCAGTGTGCAATCGTAAAGATTTATCTACGCAGGATTTATGGTGGGTAGAGACGCCGAATCGGGAGGTATCGCGAAAAACGGCGCGAAAATGGTAACAGCGGTATCTTGTGCTAAAGTACCGAAAATCACAGTGATAATAGGTGGTTCTTACGGAGCTGGAAACTACGGTATTTCATTTTACTATCTTGATATTTTATTGTCGAGGAGGTTTAGTTAGATGTGATACATTATTTTATTATCATAGGAATGTGTGGCCGATCTTATTCTCCGCGATTCCTTTATTCCTGGCCGAACGCTCGAATATCGGTGATGGGAGGTGAACAGGCAGCTAGTGTATTGGCACAAATAGCGAAGGACCAAAAGTTGAGGGAAGGCAAAAAGGTACGGTTCGTTTTCTAATTTTATCAATATGCAGAAATCGACGCACGCGTTTTGATTTTACAGTGGACTCAGGAGGAGGAGGACAACATCAAGAATCCGATTATTAAACAATTTGAGGAGGAAGGCAATCCGTACTACTCTAGTGCTAGGTAGATCCATCGTGCGGAAAAAGTTTGTTCTTGTATGAATATTATTCTAACATCTCTCTTTTTTTATAGGCTTTGGGATGATGGTGTGATTGATCCCGTCGACACTCGAGTAGTCCTCGGTATGAGTTTGTCTGCAAGTCTGAACGCACCTATACCTGACACTAAATTCGGAATTTTCCGAATGTAATACGATTACAAAAACGTTCGTCTCGTTTTATATACGAACGCAAACTCAAACGCGCCTTTTTGCTATTAGATTTTGTATGTTTTTTGTATCGAAGTTAAAGATCGAATCTTATTTTAGGATAAAGATATTTTGTAGATACTACTCTTTACTATATACACATTCCAAATATATATTTTATTATATATTGCATGTCATATTAAATAATAAACTATCATTATAAAGCATCTGTAATCTCATAATTCCTCCTAATTAGATTTCCTTACCGTACAGAAGACCGTTACATTTTTGACAATGCAGCGATATCGCGTTACATCTTGGCAGATATGACATAATTCTTTTAAAATTATGCTATCAGACGGCCACGTGTGTCACGAACGCAGTTGTAAAAAAAGAAAGCGCTTCGCGGTCTTTGCTGTCATTTTATTTAACATTAAAAGTACCGACAATTAACGTGTGCCTTTCTATCGGAATAATTTAATTAAGATTTTTGAAAAAATATGTAATGCAAAAGAAAAAATATTCGTTTACAACCAAAATTACGGGAAATCTCAGAGAATGCAGCATTAGAAATTGGAGTAACTTTTATATGAAAAATTACAAACCGGTCATTTTGACCGCTTTGGTAATTTCAGTGTTAATTACTTTATTTGACATAATCATTATAGATTGAGATTACGGATACTCAATAATTACTTAGGAATATATGTTATTGCTTACTATATTATTGCTAAGATAGTTAATCTGTTTTTCTTCTCTCGAATCTGGAACTCGTTCCGATTTTGTCCAAGATTCACATAATACGGCTATAATGATCTCTCGGTACAATCATAAAGGACAATTTTTTTGGATATTTCTATATTAAGACAAATATATATTTAGTTACTATAAAATATTTTATTTACAAGTCGGAAATATAAAAACATAGATTTTGCATATTTTATAAATTTTAGGTACATATAGCAAGTTATATAGAAACTTACTCGATATTTGAATCGTAATGTTCGATTAATCGACTAATAACTAAATGGACAATTGAAGCAATGCGATTCAAACATTATATATATACATATACATATATATATATATATATATACATACTGTAATACTTATATATGTATATGCCTCTCTCACTAACGTACGAAAATGTATATAAAATTTATCGCGAGATTCAACCAAAATATAGATATTTATCATTGATAAGTAAAAATATAATCTCTCATTTTACTGTCATGTAATATTATAATATTTACGTGCATATAATTAATAAATAACCTTACAAAACGTTATTTAAAATATGTTACAGACATGTACATTGAACAGAGATGCGGATTTAGAATCGTTATTTCATGCGAGCTTTGTTCAACTCTAAACTCTATCGAAATCAGCGTTTTGTGGGATTAGATGAGATATCTCTTCATAGTCCTGTCGGCACAAACCTGTAAGTGATTCAAATAAATTGATATATATATTCTAATTGCATTTACACAAATAATTGTGATACTAGTGAAACTGATACACAAAATGCTGGACTTTCATGCTACAAGTTCAAGCCAAAGCATTAATCTTGGGAAAAGACTGGGTATATAACGTTTATACACAGAAACCTAGATAACTAACATAAGGTTGTTTGGTTATAAAATATATACAATAATTTGCATTAAAGCACAAAACTACTGCACATACACATACTTAATAAATCAGATCTTGAAGAAGCACTGGTGCTACAAAGTGTAGATATATATCCAGTGAATTACTGACCCATGGAAGGACTTGGTGCAAATATCGTGGCTAAAGTGCCATTTCTTCCTTGACCTATTCGTAGCAGATATATACTCGTAACAGGACGGGCAACCAAATTTATGATCATAAAAGCTAGACTGAATGTATCTACAATTTGATATAATTAGACAGATAAAATAGGTCATTAAATTATTTGTTATATTCTATTTCATTTTTTTTCCTTGTGCGACAAAAACTGTAGAGAATGTATACTTACAGAATGAATCATAATTGACTACTAAAATAACCACGTCAAAGAATACAGAGAGTACATTTATGAAAAGAGCCTATAAAAAGTATAATGATAGATAGCTGCAAGTAATTTTATTGTTTTTATATATTGAATGACTTACAAATTGAAGTGGTTCATCTGATTCCATATTATAAACAGCCCATAATATGCAAACAAAAAATAACATATTGTAGAATATCACAGATTGTGGACATCTTCCTTGCGTACTCCTGTAAAATATTTTTCCTTTTATAGTTTTTTTCATAAAAATTATAACAGTAGATTATTATACTTAATATTTAAAGGATACAAATTCAAATTTTTATACAACCATCAGTTCTTACCATGTTAGGAACGATAACACCGTGTGAATCGTAAATATGATCTAGAAAAGTTCAATGATAAAAGGTACAATATACTATCCTTACACGCAATTCAACTTAATTAAAAATTTACGCATTTATAAATTCAAAAAAGGGACAAATCAATTACAAGTTCGTGAGGTACCAGTTTACTTAATCCAACAAAAAAGTATTTTTAAGACAAAGATTAATGGCATAATGTTTATTACAGAATGACGTTATTAAGAGATTAACTTAATTTATATACCTTTAAGGAAAAATGAGATAAATCAGTTAAATTAGGCATTTTGGTTGTGTGACAATACCTACAGTACCAATAATGGCTGATTAATTTTATGTGTATATAGAACACGATTATAAAATATCTCTAACTGACAGGACTCTATCAAATTTCTCTCCGCTTACAACTTTAATTCGACAACAACATGAAGCACGTGTATTGTGTATATCAGCTGTGTAAGGCTTTTGGTCTGTTCTTTTTAGCTGCTGAACTGATGCAATAAGTTAAAGCGATACAGAATATACTTATCTCGCTCTAACTTACTGCACCAGTTCAGCAGTGAAAAGAACAGACCACTTGTGTCCACAATGCTAGATCTAGAACCAAAATCTAATATTTGTTGATAATTACTATTGGTAGGTACTTGAAAGGTACTAGAATTCCAAGTAGTTTCTAGTAACTTGTACATCAGGCCGCAACTTAATCCGAGATCTAGCGGTGAACACAAAGCCTAAAGTTCGTATCAGACTACGGATTAGAGATTGAGATTGAATTGAAATTTGACTAATCAGTACAAAGTTCACTAAATTTCACTAAACTTGAGTTAACTGTTAACTTAGTACTGATTTGCCAAATTGAATTTAACCTCCAATCCGTAGTCTGATACGGGCTTAAGAGCACTTCTTACCTTTGCTTTGGTCATCGTTGAACTAAAAAATACATAAATTAAAATGAAGACTGGCGTGATGAGGGCCGTGGCCTATTGGAGAGGCTGTGCGACAAAGGCCATGTCTAAATAATATTTCACTCTCTGTCTTACTATATGTTATATAGGTATAAGATAAGAAAAAGACGGAAATACTATTTAGATACTTTATCGGCACGAGGTCACCTGCCAGAAACAAAGGCGCAGTGTCCATTCCAGTTTTTTAATTTAATTTAATCATGCAAAATTTAAACTTACAGTCATCTATGGGTGCGAAAATCACTAAAAACATAAAATTACCTTTGCACACCATTGACGCGATCTACGGTATCGTCGGAACGAATCTTAAACGTCCTTCGACGTGAAAGAAGTTATCGCGAGGATCGAGTGGACGGACCGAAATTCCCCGAATTTAAAGCGCAATACAGCGAGACTTTGATTATTAGATTTACCAGGATTTGCGGCTATACCGTGGACATAATCGCGAACAACGATATCTTGTTCTCTGAGAGCGCTCTGAAAGGAACTCACTTCATGCAACTTTGTGCACAAAGAAAAATCCCTCTAATTTTTTTACAAAATATCACATGTACGAAGTCACTCGTGCATTTCTCTTCCCTAATTCCTGTAATGCAGTATGCAATCATAAAAATTTACCTACGCAGGATTCATAATGAGTAAAGACGCAGAATTAAAATCAATCAGTGATAATAGGCGATTCTTATGGAACGACGACGGAAATTATTATCAATATTATCTTAATATTTTATTGTCGAAGAGATTTAAAGGTGATACATGATTATCATAGAAATATGTTGTCGATTTTATTACCCGCGATTTATTTATTCTTGGCCAAACGTTAGAATATTGGTGATAAGAACAGGAGACTAGTATATTGGCACAAATTACGAAGGGCCAAAAGTTGAGGAAATACAAAAAAGTACGGTTCAATTTTTAATTTTATCAATATGCAGAAATCGACGTATGCGTTTCGATTTTACAGTGGACTCAGAAAGAAAAGGACAAAATAAAAAATCCGATATTAACCAATTTGAGGAGGAAGACAATCCGAGCTACTCTAATACTATGTAGGTCCGTCGAGCGAAAAGAATTTATTCTTATATGAATATTGTTCTAATATATCTCTTTTTCATATGCTTTGGGATGTGTGTGTATGATGGTACAGTAGATCCCGTCGATCCAAGTTGTCTTCGGTCTGAGTCCGCAAATCTAAACATACCTATATCTGACATTAAATTCGGAATTTTCCGAATATAATATGATTGCAAAAACATCCGTTTCAAAGTATATACGTACGCAATCTTGAAAATGCTTTTTTATTATTAAACACTGTATGTTATTTTTATATCGAAGTTAAAGATCATACCTTATATAATAACAAAAATATTTTGTAAATTTTTGCTATATAAACATTCCAAATATATGTTTTATTACATATTGCATGTCACATTAAATAATGAACTAGCATTATAAAGCGTCTCACAATTCCTCCTGACTGGACCTTCTTACCATACGGAAATCCGTTACAATTTTGACAATGCAGCTATAGCGCGTTACATATAGCAGATATGACAGATATGACAGATAACTCATTTTAAAATTGAACTATCAGACGACAATTGCAGTTGTGGTAAAAAAAGAAATCTCTCTGCCGCGTCTGCTGTCATTTTATTTAATTACTTTACATTTATTTAACGTAATCATTATAGACTGAGATTACGGATATTCAATTAATAATTACTTAGTAATTAATTAATTAATTAAGTCACATTGCAATATTACACCTCGTCGCACGACTAGGTCTTCGGCTTTCTCCGCTCGCAAAGGCCAATTTTCGTTTGGCAGCTATTCCATTAAAAGATACGGCAGTTATTCGCGATGCGCATCACGTACGGTATAAAAATGTATATGTAATAAATCTATAGGACTGAAACGTCATGACTGAAAATTCGGCGGTCGCAGAGCGGAGAAATCTTATAAGTATGTGTTACTGCTTACTGTGTTAGCGCTAAGATAGTTAGTCCGCTTTTGTCCGTTTCTTCCGAATCTGGAACTTGGTCCGATTTTGCCCAAAATTCGATTCTCATTCATTTTATTTTAATATCGCACACAAAGCGTGTGTGGATGTGATCGGCAAGTTTGAAGTCGAATTTCTCCTCGAAGAATCAAGCTATTTCGAAGCATCGGTGTTACAGATCAAATTTCTTCCAATATTTTTCCAGGCGTGTTTTGACTATACACAGTCAATTATCACTCGTGTGTGCGTATAAAAAAGAGAGAGAGAGAGAGAGAGAGAGAGAGAGAGAGAGAGAGAGATACGACCGATGATCCACCGTTATCATGATCAAAATTCCTTAAATTATCGGTGAGAAAGTATGAACTATCGTTCTCTCAGAAGCGATACGTCCGACCATCCTTCGCGCTTTTAACGTACCTCAGGGCTGCGTCTTATTTACAGTTAGCAATTGTTTGTCAGGAAACACAAATCTTGTCTCCTACAGGAATTTGTAAAAGCAAAGGACGATCAAGAAAAGGCTCCAGTTCAGCGTACTACACGAGGAACGATTGAGTACCACCTCGGTGACCTTGTACTTGAACTGCTCTTTGATCTCCTCCGCGAGAAAGGACCTCTCGTGCGTCCTAATTGTCGTCGGGCCGGACTGCTCTCTGACTTCCACCGCGATCACAGCTCTCTCCTTCGTCCTGTTCTTTCCCTTTCTGATGAACTCCGAAAGCACTGACAACACACACGATACGGAACATCGTAATAGGCGCCATAAACGTGACGAATGCGCGGCAATTATTCAAACGATCGCTCACTTGGTAGGATGAAGCGATTTACCTTGATCGATCATGACGTCGTCCGCGGAATCGACCCTGATGAACGTCGACATGGTTACCTCGAACAATTTGTTCTTGTCGGTGCTTGACATCTCAATGGCCCTTCTTTTTCTGCCGAAACCAACTTGGCCGTTGCTGCATTCGATCTGAAGCACGTGTGCAAACACGTCTTAATAGACTCGTCGGAGAACATTATGAGGCGGCACTAGCGTCCGACAGAACGAAGCAATAAAATAAAGGATGTAACGACCGTGCAAATGGAGTTAAAGCCACCGGTTTAATAATCGTGCTAATGTAAGCCCGCGCGCTTATATATAAAAGAATGAAGCATACCCCTTGGCATTTATCCAAGCAGACATTAACGGTACCGCGAAACTGGACGTAAGTACTCTCCGGGAACTTGAAAGCGCGGAATTTCGCTGTCAGGAAGTCGCCGTCCACGGTGTTGAAGTTTTCGAACAAGTAAGGATCGACGGAGCACCTGCGTGTATGTGTATGTTGCGTATTATCAACTACATGAGACATCATTCCTGTAACTGCGACTATGACGACATCGTCGTCGATCAATTACCCATTAATAATGATCGTTTCCTCCTGCGTCTTGGTGTCGGTGACCAGCATGTAAGTGACCAGCAGGCCGTAGATCGGCGCTGAATCGTTGTCCAAGAATATCTCCATCTGCAACGGCGTGCCAGGACTGACGTTGAGCTCACCGGTCACCAAGGTGCCACCTTGCCTAACTCCGACGCCGAGGATCGGGACCGGCGCCGATCCGGAAAACTCACCGCCTATATCGATCACCCTGTAGCAAAGACAAGCGCGTTTCTTAGAACTTATCAAGTCGATCTGCAACATCTGCATCCGTGAAAAAATAACCAAACAAATGAAAACAACAAACAGACGTTATTATATTATTAAAATATATTATAAAAATTATTTACTATTTAGATACTGAGAGAATTCAGATATCATGGAAACTCCATGGGTCACCCAAGCATCGATTTTTGCGATTTGTCCTCGTCATAGAGTCGGCACAACTGCCGCACGTGCCGAGAGCGCGACGAAGTACACACTGACACTGACAAAATGGAGATCCGCAAGGTTCGCCTACTTTCCAAAATGAAATCACCAGGCCGAGCATCTGGCCGGTCGCGATGATCGAACGCGCTGAAACGAATTGCGGCCCTAAATATGCAATTCTAATCGCGCGGCAGTTTGTACACGCCAAGGCGCAAGAACATCACGGCGTAGCAGTTATCTCCGCGGGAGGATTCGACCCGTTTTACGGTCTTATGCAAAATCGTGAGAAATTGCGCGACACGATCTACTTTATTGAAAAAAAGTCGCGAATCACCTGTGTACGCGCGTCGGATTTGCCGAGCCCGCAAATCAATTCCGAGAGAAAGAGAGAGAGAGAAAGAATAAAAGAAACCGATGGCCTCCAGTGGCGTTCCAGTTTTGTGCAGACTCATCCGCCGCTTCCGCGACATTCCGCGCCGACCTTGGGCCGTAAGGGAAACGGGAGACACGCGGATCGTCCGAATGAAATCGCTCACGATGACAAACGAAATAATGAAGACGAATGTTTGTCAGAATGGGTAGACCGTGAAATTGCTAGCGGCGAAGGAGGCGGCGATGAAGCCAGGTAGAACGAGCGGATCGTGTTCTAAAATAAAAGACGCGGGTACACGCGTTACACGTACACGCACACGAGCGCGCTTCGATAACAACGTATCGAGGCGTACACGGAGTGCCATTAGCCATTATTATGCTATGACTCGTATTATTTTACACAACTCGCTCATCCCGCTCGGTGATTCTTCTTTCTTCTCTCTCTCTCTCTCTCTCTCTTTTTTCTCTCTTATCTTCTCTTTCTCTCCCTTTCTCTCTTCTTCTATATATATATATCTTTTTCATTTCTCTTTTTTCTTATATCAAGAACACAGCGTGCCTCGTTAAATCGCTTTCCGACGCGTGACGACCTTTCGTATACGCGATACAACGGTGTAAAAACTACTTAATTACACGACTTATCTCCGCGAAGAGACACGCAATTGTGTATCGGGTAACTCGGAAAGAAATTCGTTCCGAGTGTTCTCCGAGCCGTCTCGTCGGACGGCCCGAGGAATCTTCGGGATTCGTCACGATCCGCGGCGCGGATTTTCCCCGGGGGG